AGATGTATCGCGTATTTAAATCTGAAGAGGTAAGGTGCAAACTTACTTTAGTTTTGTCTCGTTTTACTACTCGATATGACTCATCGTATTTTCTGATCAAGTCACATCTCTAATCGGAGTCTTATATGTAAGTATGTATCTTTGGCTGACAGGTTGGTTCCCCATTCATTCGCTAGGTGGCGTCTGGTGCTGCTGCGGCTGCGGCTGCTGCTCGGGCGTCTGTCTGATGGTCAGTTATATACGACGGTCTACACAAACTCCTTTTTATTATTTGGCTGTTTTTGCACTGAATCATTGCCCATTCCCCTAGACGCCCATGCCGCCCCCTCCTCTCCCCCCACTCTCTCTCTCTATGTCTCCCCACTCTTCTCCACGGCAGTCGACTGTCTGCCCCACTGTCTCATATTTTATCACAGCAGCAGCAGCAGCAGCCGCCGTCCTCGTCGGCGTCTCGAGTGGCCAAGTGTCTTGGCTAGAGGTTTTGGTCTGGGTTTTCGGGCTTTCGGGCTTTGGCACATGCTCCAAGAGCGAGAGCCGGCAGAGTTTTCTTTCCTTTTTTTTTGGCACAGATTTACGACTTTTTATGCTGTTTTGATTTGTTTTTGCATAAGGGTGTTCACGTGGCCAGGCCCGGTACAGAGACAGAGACTGGGATTGGGACTGGGACTGGAGCTGCAACTGTTTGGCCGTTTGTCTTGTCTGCGGCCCGGGTCCCGTCATTGCTGTTGTAATTGGGTTTCAGAATATGACGGAAAGAGTGTTGCTAATCAGCAAATCACACTCTGGCGTTGAGTAGACGAATTACAGGGCACTATTTGTGAGCATTTGTGAATGGCAGCATTTTGGACCGTCCATCGGGAGGCGAGGCCGGGCTGCAACCTGTTTGTCCATTGAAAATGGAAAGGCGTTTCTGCTTTTCTCAGCCGGCCGACCACAGTGGCCATCAATCTTTGGCCAAAGTGTCGCCCAGGTCTTCCAGAGCATTCGCTTAAAAATCTTTATATGCTCTGAGGCCGCGAACTTATATCCAGGGTGGGTCTGGCAGGCGGGTGGGGCACGAGTATTAGGAGCAGTTTCAATTAAATGGCATATAAACCTCGATTTGTGCACTTTTATTTCCAGCATTGCGCCTTGTTGGCTTTATTGTCCCACTGGAAAGTCGGCTATAAACCCATATTTTCATATCTGCATGTCGCCAGGCAAATAACCATAAAAACATTTAATTATCTCCCCGCTGGAATCTCACGGGAATCGCTGCTCAATAAACAGCAGCCATAACGAAATTAACCAGTGCAGGAGAATAAAATAAATGCATTCTAGTTAGGCCTTTGTCCACTCTTGGATATTTGCATTTAAATGGATAACGAGGGATCCGCGAGAGAACTCAATTGATTGCCCCACCCCAAGCGTCTCGGTTATTGTTTATTTACTTCGCAGGGGACGAATGTTGGTAGAAGCAATCGAATCATAGCTGCAGGTAAAACAAAATACTTTCGATGTGGCTGCCACTCAATTTACTTCGATTTACAGACACTTCGAGGGGGGTAATACAAAGGGTATTATTACTAAGAAAAAAGTATTTTTCGCTGCATAATTTAGATTACATTTTTATTATATTCGGAGGAATTGAGTTAAACCTTTTATTGTTTATCGTGGATCGTTTCTATGAGATAATTCGTTTCGGAATAAAAGTTTGCTGGACACATGAGTATTGTCTTCTACTGCACTTGATTGGAGATATATTTTAATTGGGGACAACGCATCTTCCACTCGAATTTCGTAGGCTATAGTACGTATACTAGCAGTAGGTGCAATTTAAAACTCAATAAGTGGGGTCTCGCAGCCTGAAAAACAGCCCTGGGCAGGAGCGATCGGGTGGAGTGGGCAAAACGTAGGATAGGGCATGCTCGGGCCGGGAAGAAACGTCGGGCAGCTGGGCAACTGCACTCGGAAAGTCGTATGTTGGGCAGTTGGCCAGGTGCGGGTGCCCCACACACACAAACTGGTTAGCCGGCGATGGACATGAGGCGAGGCAATGGCTGGAGACTGCCAGCCCAATCGAACAGCGAACGGCTGTCCGGCCTGGGCGCAGGCCAAGTAAGGCCTCTGCGTGAACACACCCGCATCGCAGCAGCAGCAGCCACGACAGGACAGAGCCGGGCCAAGACGCAGGGGAAGGTACAGGCACAGGCGCAGGCGCAGACGTCGTCGTTTTCGTAGTTTAAAACCAGATTAGCGCCCAAGTCTGTGGCTAATTTTTGTCGGTGGCCGACGCAGACGCCGACGCGTTGGGTCCAAGCAAATTTGAATTTGAATGTTAGCGGGTGATAGTCGCTGGAACATACTACTCGTACCTACCTATGCATAGTTTTGGCTGTGCTGTGGTGCTTGGCGAGGTGACGTGACCGAACCAGCGAACCAGCGATCCAGCGAACCACTTGGTCAGTTGGCGAATGTACTGTTGCCTGGATGTTGTGCCACAATCTCGCAGCAGTGGCGGGTTGACAGTGTGCCCCGCTCGCTCGTGGCTTAGGTCTCTGTCGGTGCCTGTGAAATATAGGATGACATGGGGTATGGTTATGGTTACGTGCATACAAAAGCCACTAAGCTGATTACGAAATGTTGACCTTTTTACCGCTGCCGTGGCTGTGCCTGTGCCTGTGGCTGTGGCTGGAACTGCCCCTGTTGCCCCCTGTTGCTGCCCCCACTGCTGCAGTCGCTGCCACAGCTTAGCCACTTGTCAGCGCCTTTGGCGGCAGGCTCGGAGAGTTGCTGGCGAAAGGTTTATGTCAACTGTTTTGGGTCCCTCCCTGCACTCCCAAAGATAATTGCACTCAAATTGAGCTCAATTTAATTTGCCCATATTTCAGGGGGCTCGGACTAATGGCTGAACCCGTACTCGTGTCCAGAGTGAGAGTGGAGTATTTCCTGCTTATCGTCCACGCCATAAACTAGGCAAGAAAATGAACGCCATTGAGTGACCCGTAAATCCAGCACTTCCACTTGGGCAAATAGTTTACTCAGTGATTGACACAACTTAATAGGGGGATCCATGACTCACTCCCTCTCGCCCCATCCCCCAAAATAGGCATTTCCCAATGCACTTGTCCAGAATCGACCTCTAGGGTGCAGCGCTTGATAAGCCGGGAAGGAGTTCAATGCCTAATCGAAATTACTCATAGGGCAAGGGATTCTAACGCCACACCACACCACACCCAGAGCACACCTCAGTCATGCGCTGTCCGCATTTCCGCATAGTCAAAGCTCAGTTGGTGTTGCCACCACACCATCCACATGCCGGCTGTGCTGTGTGTTGGGCTGCCAGCTGGTCTCATCACGCATACCTGCGCACTATCCACATCCACTCACCCCGCTCCACGCTCGGTGGTGGTGGCTTGGAAATCAGAGTCGTAATCTGCCGCACAAAATGGTGGGAAAAGTTTTGCAACCCCTAACAACAAATCAGACAAAAGCACCGGCACTGAAGAGGCGTCAACAGCAACCTGGTATCGGGTGCCGTGCCTGATCCTGCCTGATGCTGCCGGGTGCCGGGTGCCGTATGCCTGTTACGCCGCTTTCAAGGGCGAACCCTACTCAACCCACCCCTCCTCGGCGGGCCTGGTGGACATCATTCCCACCGCCGAGCATATGGAAGCTGTTCTGGCCTCCCGGTGGCCTCTATCCTGCAGCTGCGCAGTAGGTCCTGTCCGACTTTGGGGTGGCTTCCATTTCGGTGGGAAAATAATTCGTTCGAGCTCGCGTTCCATTGCCATTTCGTGGCAGCATTGCGGCAGCATTGCAATGTACTCGTGATTAATTGCTGTCGATTTTTCGGGAACTGTACCTGATTTACGATCGAGAACGTTCCACAGTGCTTTGGAATTCGGCGGCCTCATGTTGCTCTTTTCAAAACGAACTTCTTAATAGCTGTGAGAGAGTGCATGCTGTACAAATTATGTGTGGATTATTGCCCTGGTGGCTTGCTCATTTGGAATGCCATTGCTTGTCGGGCGGGCAGTCAAGTAAATAAATTTGATTTGTAAGAATTACCCAGCGACTGAGCAAGATCTAAAGGAGCATTCCTGGCTGCTACTCTTTGATAAGGTCGCGGCTACTGGGAAAGCTCTGCATGGTAGCTGCCAAGGCCGGGCAATAGTGCTGGTAGCCTTCAGGCCGGAGGACTCCCACTGATGAGAATTTCATTCAAGAGCAGCGTAAAATTTTCGCTTAAAATGAGCAGCAGGAACAAATTATTTTCTGGGTCCAATTGCGATAGAATTTTATTTGAAGCTATCGAAATGGAAATTGTTTGTTTAATTGTTTCGGTTTTCTTTTCTTTTTTTTCTTTTGAAAATTCATCTAAATGTTCTCCGTGTCGTGGCCCATGTCGTTGTGGCTTAATCAATTTTCCGATAGCCCTCCCAACTGTCCAGCTTTAGCTCACACTTGTTACGCACCCTGTAATCGCTTGCAGTGCTAAAACTTTCCTTTTCCAAATTGGGATTCTTCCCCCGCAGCGGCTGACAAATGAGAGCGCATGTGCGCCCCATCAATAAAATCAACAGCATTAGTCAACCGCCAATTGGCTGGCCAGACGCCAGGCCAGGCCAGGCCAGGCCGGGCAATGGCAATGGCAATCCCTGGCTGTGGTTTAATAGAAAGGCAGGTGACTCTTGTCCGGGCGACGGACCAGCTAACTAGCAGTCGAGTCCGAATCCCTGTACCGACGGGGAGACAACATTTCCCCTCGGTGGGAGTAACGATGCAGTTTGACTTTGGGAATAGTGCGCTGACAAATCTGGCACCATTTGTCCATGCGAACTTGGTGAGGAGTTTTCTACGCCGGCGGGCAGTGATAGGCCATGCGCAAATTGAGACGTGGAGGAGCTTCCAATCCCAGCCAGCTGCGGTCCACTGCGGCACTCGCAATTTAACGCTGCGAATTTAATAAAGAAACTTGAACAGCGCGTCTGGGCCGCTTGATTGGGCAGTCGGCGGCCCCATGGCCAGACATCTGTAAGTGTCACTCCCATGGAGGCAGGTCCTAGGTCTTCTGACTGTGGCTACTCTGGCGTTGGTCAGGCTTCTCGCGCTGCTCCTTGTTATCCACCCTGAAGTTGCGATGGCTGGAATGGGATATGCCAGAAAGTCTGCCCACCTGGTAGCAGGGGCACTTGAGGCTGTCCGTGTACTGGATCACACCGTAGTTTCCGGATATCATCCACTGCGGATCGCTTCTCAGCAGGGCGTCCGACTTGCCCTCCGGCAGGCCGCAGATAACCTCGCACTTGACTGTCCGCATGGCGCATATGTTGCAGGGCCGAAAGCCTCGCAGACACGTGATGAAGTCCTCGGTGGAGTCCCAGATATAGTCGCCCATGAGCTTGCGGTAGTTGAGGTCCCCCTTGAAGATGGCCAGGCTGCCTCCGGACAACAGCTTGTACAGGTCCTGATCGGAATCCACCATCACAAAGTAGGGCTGCGGTCCTGTCCAGAAGTGCGACTTGGGGGCTATAATGATCTTGCCATCGTTGAAGAGGCGCGCCCACTTGCGGCCCAGCGCGGACAGCAGCTCGTCGGAATGGCCGATCAGGTAGTGGATAGTCCACTCAATATCCGAGCTGTTCACGTCCGAAATGTACCAGGGTATGGCCTTGACGTGCAGTCGCACCAGGGTGGCCAGTCCGTTCGCCACCAGGTACTCGATGAGCAGCATGTCCGTGAACAGCTCGAATCCCCCGTTGTCGCAGACGAAGTCCACGACGATCTCAGGACTGCCTTTGGCCTTCATCAGGCAGTTCCACACGAGTATGGAGTCGTCCACCAGCAGGTTCCTGTCGAGGTCCGCCACCCTGGTGAGCACGTCTAGGTCGGAGTATTCCTCGTCCTCTTGAAACACGTAGGCGTTCAGCTGGATCTCGTAGTGGTTGCTCCACAGGTTGATGCGCATCAGCTTGCTGAAGGACTCGTAGTCCTTGGGCAGGTTCCTGGTGGCCGTGGTCAGAGCTTGCATGGCCCGCTTGCTGATCTTCAGATCGTCCTGCTTCAGATGCGCAAAGTAGTCGAAGCCGGCCAGGTGCTTGGTGTTCTCGACGAAGGAGTAGATGCGCCGGTACAGGTAGCACTCGGAGTGCAGCCAGCAGGCTCGAAAGAACGTCCGCTTGTGCCGGGGCAGCTCCGTGATGAAGGCATTCCATGCGGCCTTGTCCGGGCTCGTTGCCGTGGAACATGAGGAACTGGCGATCGCGATTCAGCTCCATCTTCAGCCGTTCAATGGCGTCGATAACATGTTGAATCTCCTTGTGTATCTCCACGCCAAACTTCGTCTCCAGCTCCGGTCTGCCCTCCAGCAGCCTCACGATGATCTGCTGCATGATCCCGGGCATCCGCGTCCGCAGCGACAGATAGGCGAAGCTCTGCTTGAAGCGACCCGACAGCAGCGAGTGCCGGGGCGTCGGCCCCTCCTGAAACTCCGACTCGGTTGTCTTTCCCGACAGCGTCGAAGTGTTGCCCAACGAAATCCTCAACGTCATTTTGGGACATTGAAAGCTGTCGCCTTGGCAATCCGGGGATTTGCTCACACTGTGAATTTAGTTTTTCAAGAATTTTTTCTTGGTTTTGATTGAAAAATAAATGCAATATTGGATCGTACGTAGAAAGGTGTGGATTTTAATTGGAAAATAAATCAAGGATATTAAAAGAGGAACTTTTGGTACACTGCCAATAAAATATCAGTTGGATGGTACGAAGCTCTTGGGAAGGATTACTTCTGTCTCATCTGCTGGTAGTAATAGCTTTCCGACTTTAGACAAATTGTTCAGCTGTGAATTTGCTGACAGATATGTGTATTCGATTCTAAATGTTTCAACTTAAATTAACTTTTTAATTTAAAAACTAATTTGCAGACTAAAATGGATAGCTTAAGAGATAATTATTATTCTGATGCTTGATTTCATTGGTATTGAGTTTGATTTAGATTCTTCTCCAAATGTCCTGAATCAGAGTGGAGATCGATGACCTTTCCAACCGCATATCTCTGGTCGGAGCCATTCCCCCACGAGCAGAGTCCCCTAGCACTCCACGCACAACTTCTAAGTACTGTGGGAAACACCTCGGCATACACGAGATCTCTGATCCGTCTTCCTTCCTTCCTTCCTTTGATTCTGCATTTTTATACCCAGGTGTTATCCGCATCGTGGCATGTCCAAGTGTAATTTACACTGTCAGTGGCAAATGCAAATTTGCATAATGCTGCGATCCTATGTTGGCGGTGCCCTTGGTCCTTGCACAGCACTCTGATCACTTGAGCAGCTCATCCGGTTCGGGATCGGAATCGGAATCGAGATCGGGTTGAGGCTCGGAAAAGTGAAAATCATAACGTGGTTAGGGCAAGGGCAGGGGCAAGGGCAAGGGTTAGCGCTAGGGTTGGTTGCAGTGCATTACTGAGAGTCTGAGGATGAGAATGAGAAGGAGAACCATTGATGGCATGCACTTAGCATAATTGTCACATGTTAATAAACAAGTCCGGTGGCACTGTGGGAAACTAGACGGCGAGGTTAATTCTATGCTAATGGAGCAAGGTGTGCACTTCCTCTGGCAACCCTTTCCTGGGCTCGAACCGATCCAATTGAATGTTTATGGACTGCGGATGACGCAAGTGTTCGCTGGGGGGATCGCATGGGCTATTTGCATTAGCATTTGCCAAAGGAAGCCAGCGGAGCTGATATGATTTCCTTCACATCCACGGGCACTTATGTTGTTTATCCATGACACACACTGGAACTCTGTAATCGAGGGTGAGCCCCCTCCAGAGTGCAGACATTGCTGCGTCAAAACAGAAACTTGCGCCTTTTTATCGAGCAACCTCATTAGCCGTGCACCTTCGACGCGACGCGACGCGAAGCGACGCGAAGCAGCGATTCGCATCCAGGTGTTCCATAGAAATCAAAAACTTCCCCCGTGACATACTCGTACCGGTTCCAAGTTCGCTGTTGATTCTGTCTCCTTCTCCTTCGTTGTCTTCGTCTCTGTGTCTGTCTCCGTCTCTGGCTCTGCCTCAAGGTGTTACATTCTCGTTGCGCCATTTTTGAGCCGCTTCTGCGTCTATTGTCAGCGAAGACGTTACTTTTAGGTGGAAGTTGAGTTAGGGGGCTTGGGGTGTGTGTCATACGAGTATTTTTGACTGAACTGGATTTCGCTGCCATGTGAAATAGCCGAGCAGCTGCGCAGTTATTGTGGCAAGTTTTTTTCGGCATTTGGCATGTGGCATGTGCTCATCGCTACGCAGTAGTCTGTCCTTAGGGGTGGGGTCCACGGTACACACTCGAACTATGGCTGGGCATTGTTCGCTTCGGAAATGGGTGGACCCAAGCAGGTCGAATCCAGCAGGAGATCCGGCAGATACTGGAGCCCGAAAGACACCAATTGATCCTCTGTGATCTGCCCAACTTGCGTACACACATAATTCCCCACCCCATTCTGCCATAAAAATGCCTCAACTTTCACCCAGCTCCAGCTCCAGCGGTGAAGAGAAAAAGTGACAAAATATGGCTCACCCGGTAATTGCTCCCAGCAGATCAGTGAATTTATTTATGTTATTGCCGGGGTACCCTGCCCCCGATCGTGGCGAGTAAAAAATTGCATTATCAAGGCCATAAACAAATTAGGGGAGACCCAAATCTGAAAAAATAATATCAAAAAATAAGAAAGAAAGAAAGAGAGACAGAGAGAAAGAGAGAGAGAGAGAGAGAGAGAGTGTCTGTGTCTCGCAGTGGCAGCTGCACATTTGGACGGATAATCAAGGCTCAAGTGGCGGCCGCCATTAGCTGACACCGCAGCGGGGGAAGTGCATCGAATATTTTAGAAACAATGGCCCAGGCGATGCCGCTGCCTAAGCTCGACAAGATTAATAACTCTCTGGCGCACGTTCAATTAATCTTTCGCTTGCCGGGGAGCGGGAGAGGGAGCGGGCGCTGGAACTGGATCTGGAGCCGGGAAACATGGACATCGGAGGGGACCGATGGAGAGAGACCCACCCACCCACTGACAAGTTAACGGCACGTCTCCGCCTCGGATCAGATCGGATCGTGTACCTGCCGCATTGTCAGTGTCAATTGTGACAGAAGCTGCGACAGACCTTCACTCCCCAGCGCCGAAGGGAAAACAAACAAACGGACACGTCCGCGAGGGAGCCGGGAGTCGGGAGCCGGGAGCCGGGAGCCCCGTGATCATGCAAAACATTTGCCCATGAACGTGACAAAACTGAAGAACATGCGGAGAAGGTGCTCACAGCCCCACCAAATTAGTTGTTTTAGCTTCTAAATTTAGTCCGGGAATCGACCCCTCTGCTCGAAGATTTTGGGCGTGCAGCAATCCATTGGCCATAAATCAATTATATGGTCTGTCTCTGTCCCGTATTTATAGACTGACTCCTGGGCTTGGAGAGCGAGAGCATGGAGAGCATGGAGAGCATTGTTCAGGTGCACGCCCGAAAGGCGGGGGGACATTCCTCTTTCCATATCGCAGCAGCAATTTCAGAAATTTTCATAGCTGAAATTTATGTAAATACAATGCTGACAGCCCGAATATGCCGTGTCTAAAATTAACATGGGATATAAATCGGGAATCATTTGTAATAATTAGCGCGACATTTGCAGCCATTTTGAGGCAGTTTTTGGCGGATTTAATCCTCACTTCCGACCCATCCCCAGAGACCTGGCTGCACTTAATTTGTTTAATTAGGAATCCCTCAGGCAAACGAAAACATTCATCAAGAAACATGCCTCTGACTTTATTGTTGCTGGCGGAACAGCGAGGAACAGCGAGGAACAGGCGAAAGCTGTCATCCAAATTGATGCACACCCCCAGTGTTGGGTTTCAGTGCCCACATGAATCCGACAACAATGCCAAATGAGGCTGAAATTGCAGTACTCTACCAGCTACAGTACTAGAACCACCTCAACCACCACCACTTCACCACTTTCACTTTCCCTTCCACCAGATCTCGACCAGCACGCAACTTGACTCCTGCTCACCGCAAGCACAGGACGGGGCACGCCAGGAGAAGGCTGCAGGAGCAGTCGAATTTTATTTGAATTAGCAACGCGCAATCAAAAACATTCAAACACGCATAAATTGAATCCCGTGGGATGCTTTCTGTTTCGGGTTCCCAGTGCCGGTGCCGGTGCCAGTGCCATTGCCAGTGCCAGTGCCGGCGTCGACAGCCCTCCGGCGTCAGCTCTGAAGCAACTTGTCACGTGATTCAAATAACAAATAATGCAAGCAGGGATCATCCCTTAGGCTCGAGTCTAAGGTTCGATTAAGTCCACGGAACCCGCATCGCATCGTATCGCATCGGCCAGAGCGTGGGTAAGTTATTTATTGGTCAAAGTCCTGCTGGGAGAGGCTGTGCAAGCGTCTCTCCCTCCGCTCGCTCACTCTCTGTTCGGCAGGAGGACAGACGACCACCAGATATGCTGACTACCCCCCTTCCACACCCATTTCCCACACACTCGGGCACTTGGCTGGCGAAACGTCTCTGCAAGTGTAAATTGGTCCCTGGTCATGGGAACATTTGCACCCAATAATTGAATAGTTCTATTAGATACTCAATAAGCCCTAATTGATTTACCCGTCTGTGGGGTTCCTCTGGTCAGAAAAGTCTTTCTGCTATCATATTAAATAAGAAACTAAATGAGGGATGAGCCAAATTGAATTCATTCTACTATTTTCTAGGTATTCGTATAGGTATTATGCATTTCTGTACGAGTTGAATCCTTTATGTTAGATGCTTACATTGAGACTTGTGCTACTCTGTTTGTTTATAGCCTGTTTTAATAATATTATATTATTATATTATGGTTTTCCCGGTAGAGTATATCCACCTTCAATCAGTTTTCCTCCTTGCAATTGGTCTGCTGTCCACTCGGTACCTACAAGGGCCAGTTTTACGTTCCACGAAACGCAAACAGAACTTGAACTTCAGGTTGCCCTTCAACTTCAACTTCAACTCCACGAAAACTGGAAAGGATGTTTGCCATTGATAATCAAATCAAAAGCACTTGGCGAATTTATCTGAAGATGTTTAAATACACAAATGTATTTGCAAGTGATTCAGCGCTGCCAAATGTATTCGCTGGCGCACTAATAAGGCGGCGAATATTTCATTTTTATGATGTTTCAACATTGCATTAACATAAGCGCTGATGCTAATCTCTTTTTCCCATGAAGTCGAACCGAGTTGGCTCTGGCTCTGAGTCTGAGTCTGAGTCGGGCCAAACGCGATGAAACATAAAAAAATTATTATCGTGATTCATTTATGAAAACACACACAAGCTCTCTAATGATTTTTAGTCAAGATGATAGCTCCAAAGCTACCGATCAGCGATCGATCTTTCATATTGCGAGCGGGTGGTCCCCAGAAGTCTCAGGTTCGGACTCAGGGCCCGGGCAAACCGCAGAGTCTAGTAAGAGACTAAGTCTAAGCTGCTTCCCAGCAGATTAATATCTCAAGAGTGAGCAGAGCGCATTTTAATTAGTGGCGATGAAGCCGAAACTTAATTTATTGTCACTCTGGCTAATGAAACACGCCTTAGAGTCGGACTGGAAGCGAAGCGACGATGCCCCTTTGAGCCAGACTCAGCTCCAGCCACAGCCACAGCCACAGCCCCAGACCCCACATAATTGACCAATTTGAGGGTGCTGGGTGCGGAGGGTCTTATCTAGGAGATGACTTGGAAATTGAAAGCGCACACGCTGTCAATAAAACAAATTAGTTTGAATTATAGGCGTAGCTTCTATTTCTGTGTCTACTCGCAGCTCCGGCTGTAGCTCGGACGCTGCCTCTGAGTCCGACTCCCGAATCGGGAATAATTTATGCGGCGTCGGAAGCGATCGAGCTTCAGACTGACTGTTCTGTTGTCTGCTTTTATTTGATTATAATTACCGTTACCGTCTCTGGCTGGGTCCGACTCGGCCTGCGCTTTGGACAGATAATAATATCGGATTTCAAAAGCGGCGTTTATGTTCACTGGCCTGGAGCAGCGCCTGTCTCCACCGCCATTCCCTCCGCATCGCAGCTCTATCAGGCGCCAATAGTTCTAAGATCTTGTTTTGATTGCAGCTCGGTCTCGTTGACGTTGTATTCTTCTTCAGCTTCTTCTGGAGCCTCTCCTGTTTCCCAGTTTCCCAGTTTCCCCTTGGATGTCTGCTCAGTGGCTTGAAAAACCTTTAACTCGTGACAATGTAAGACAAAGTCGGCGTGTGGCATGGACAGAGGCAGGGACAGGGACGGGATACAGATTGGATTCGTTTTGGATTTCTGCATACTTTTCCTACACTTTCCTAACGCTGCCGCCCGACTTTCTTTTGTTCGTCCGAGCCGTCCGGTTCGGACGCTGCAGCTGCAGCCAGTTCTCGTTCAACGCCGCCACCTTGACGTCGGCAAATTAATGACATTTTGCACTTCATTATGCGACTCTGCGCGGCTGTTTGACACTTTGAAGTGAGGCACTCGGCTGTGGCGCTGAGCGCAACAGAAGAGGCTGAGAGCACAGTTAAGGCTTGCGGTTTGGCTACAAGCTGATGTGCAGTTAGCTTTCCCGACGAGAGTTTGATGACATCCCACACCATGCCATGCCACACCATGCCACACCATGCCACACCATGCCATACATGTTGGCTGGGCAAACAAAAGGTGAAATACTGCTCAGGAATCAGGTCCTCAGCTGCTCATCAATTCATAATAATTAATAATAAATAAATTAACTATGATCCAATTGGACTACAAAGGTCGAGACATGCAAAATAAATTAAATGCAATAATATTAATACAGCTATGGGTTATTTTATTAGATAAATAGATAAGCTGACAGACCCACAAAGAGTTAGAAGGGAGAAACTTTAAAGAGTAGCAAACAAGTTCAAATGAATACTTCAAGTCTCAGAAACTCGATTTTTGAAATTTATTTCGTATGTATGAATATACATAAATATGATTTAATTTATTGGCATACCGCCTGTATAATCTATATACAGTGGATACTTTAATTGTTACAGTAAAATTAAAAAAATTAATCAGGAATTACCCATCCGCTGAAACTCGGGTCAATGCTAAAATCATTAAAGCCTTTATTCAGATGTATATTGCCACCTGGTATCCTATGGTCGCAATGTCAATTATGCTCTTAGTTAAGATATAAAAAGTTAGTTCTATATTTCGACGAATAAATGGCAATAACTGGTTGATAAAAAATTGTTATATCTGTTTTTAAGTTAACAGCTATCTTCAGCCTATGTCATTAAATCTGCTATAAATTGGATTTCACTTTCCGATGCATCTTCCCTGATCCTCTCTAACTACCATCCATCCGTATTGTCGGTGTTACAATGCTCACGTATGTATGTATTGTTCCTTCGGTGTGTTGAGCACACCGGTTCATTACAGAATTTTGGCGCCAATCTCTGTATGGAGAACCAAGAGAGACAAAATCAGTTCCGTTGGTACGTGCCACAGCGGCAGCTGTAAGACGGGGCAACCCTCTGAGGGCTGAGATGTCTTGCAAGATGATCGGCTCGAGCTACGAGGGGCAGGGGCAGGGGTCGGTGTCGGCGTTGGGGTTGGAAAAGTAACGTCCAAAACTGCAGTTCCACCACCGCGAAGCGGCTGGTGAGGCTGTCTGCGACTTGGAGTGGGACAACTGCTGAGGGGCCGGATTCGAGCACGGTGAATGGTGGTGCCAGGTAGATTCGCACGTACCTTTTGGCGCATTCCATGGCACTCGGCTCCGGCCAGGTAAATGCGGCGGCACATGCGCAGCCGGAGACCCGCCGGACCCGTTTTGGGGTGGCTGCAGAACGATAACGCCGAAGTTCGCCAGATGGCAGAATTTTTCAATATCAAAAATTGAAATTTCACGGCCGTTAGGGGTTTTGTTTGTTTGGCCGATTGCACCTAGTCGGAGGAGGAGGAGGAGGAGGAGGAGAGCAGGCAGATGGAGGGACAGGCCCAGACAATGGGCCTTGGTCCAGGAAAAGGTTGATTTGCCTCAGATCTCAGCGCAGTTTATTTTTCTAGTGGGAACGGAGTTTCGATTTAATGGCGGACTATGTCACGTGCTGAGGCTTGGCAGCTGCCGCGGGGAGGCTGTCGAAGAGGATCTCTGATAGAGATCAACGAAAAAGCTTTCTGATAATCCTTAATTGTAATTCGTATCGAAATTATTAATTCATGAGCGCTGAGCTCTGGAAGCAGAACGTTGAAAGGTGCTCTTAAAACGAGAGAGCACGCTCTCTTAGACCCCAAGCTATCGCGGCACAAGTGAAATGTGGAACACTCGGAAGAGAGGAGAGTACGAGCCCCAGAGCTCCAAAGTCAATTGGTCGATGGTTCGGCCCGTTCGCCTTCAAAGCTGCTCTTCCATCTGGCGAAAGAGCGAGAGAGTGCGGGAAGCTCACCTGCGGCATGCTCCCGAAGAGCAGAGAGTGGGTTCCAACTTCGAATGTGTGTGTGTGTGTGTGTGTGGCTATGTACAAGCGATAGTCGGAAGAGGCACCACCCATACCATAGGCAGAGCTATAAATAAACTTGCTCTGCAAGTCGTACATAAGCTTGCCACCAGCTGCGCTTGCTCACGCACACAGCCGATGCGGAGGGGAAATCCATGCCAAGAGCGGAGAGCAGAGAGCAGAGAGAACAGAGCAGAGAGCGTGAAACGTACAGAGGACAGAATTCAATCTCAGACGCCGCAGCGGCAGCTGGTGGCGATCGTTTACGTCCAGAGCCAGCCGGTGTGTGCGAGAGGGAGAGGGAGATACGAGATACTCGTGCAAAGAGCCAGAGAGAGCTGTGGCACGTGCTCGCTTTTTACACACAGATTTGTTGCCTCCTCTGCCCTCGTGCTCCGTATAGTATAGCACGGAACAATGTGCAGCTGGAGCAGCGTTCAACGAACGCACAGCTGTTGGGAAGTCAGAGAAGGAGATGCAGATGGAGAGGGAGAGGGAGACGAGACGCGACGCGACGGAGACGGAGGTTCCACAGCATTGTGGCTCGTGGTGGTTGATTTACAGAATCCCTATTTGAAAATCGGAAGTAGGTAGTCGGGGAGGATCCTTTTGGCATGGCATGCCAGGGGGTTGGTGTGGCTAGGGGGTTGATCTCGCACGCGGAAGTCTATAAAATTAAACCGATCCTCGCCGGGTTGCATCATTCGAGCCTGGAGCTGCAAGCGATCGAGACACGCGTGTGAGCAGCCAATGAGTGAGCAGTGATTTGAGTCTTGAAAGTGAAAAGTGAGGATCGAACCACACCATTGACGATCAGTGATCAGTGATCAGCGAGCTTAGCTAGTGATTCTCCAGCACTCCCCTCCCCTCCCCGATATGGATAAACTCAAGTACAGCAAGTGCCCGCTCAAGAAGCGGCCTATTCCGATCGAGGACGCCTTTCCCGTGGATCAGCTGAGCCATGGTACGTTCCAGACGCTTTCCACTCCACCAACAGCCAGCTCTAACCTCTCGTCGCTCTTTCCAGATGAAGGACCCGTAGACCTCAGTGTGGCATCGGCTGCCGTGCCGCTGGAGCCGGAAAATCAGGCGGTCCCCCCCGAGCTGCGACGCCGTTTCGACGCGGCCATGACGCAGACCAAGGAGCAGCTGGCCCGTCGCATCTGGGAGGAGACCCGCGAGATCGCACGCGCCTTTCCGGATGTCTTCACCCGCGAGGAAATAGCCCGGAGCCTGGCCCGACTGGGATACGGCGACTTTGAGCTGCCACCGGAGGAGGAGGTTATGGATCCCGAGCCAGAGCTTCCGGTCAGCTATGCCAGGGTCTCCGTCTCCCCTCCTCCCACGGCACAGACGATCATCAAGGTGGAGCAGCCCGAAGAGGATTTCCCGCTGCGAAACTACAATAATAATCTGCTCAAGAGCATTGCCGACTATGAGGACTGCATGAAGATGCCAATGGGATCGGCACAGCTCCAGCCACAGCCGCAGGCGCAGCCACCTCTACATCCCACCTCCCACATCCACAGACCTACTACCAGCCGCCAGCAACCCCTGGGCTGCCAGAGGATCTCAGTTTGCGACCCGAGGTCGCACAGCGCCGGGTGCTGAGCGAGAACATGAATCTGCAAAACGTGGCCCGGGCCCTGCTCAGCATGCAGCACATGGCACCACAGCACATGCCACCCCAGCAGCCACAGTACGACCCACCCTATCAGAAGGCCGCGAAGCAGGAACTGACGCCACTGGCCGAGGACATGGAGAACGGCGAGAACAGCGAGAACCAGCTCAACCAGCTGAAGATCAAGAGCAGCAACGATCTGTACTACCAGTGCCAGCAGTGCAACAAATGCTATGCCACGTACGCCGGACTGGTGAAGCACCAGCAGAGCCACGCCTATGAGAGCACCGAGTACAAGATCATCCGGAGCAACCCCAGCGGCGGCCCCATTGTGGACCAGACCGAGTTCTGCACTGACCAGGCGTCGGCACTGATCCAGGCAGCCAACGCGGCGTCTGCCCAGTCCATGCAGAAGCCGGTGGGAGTGCCCCGGTACCACTGCCAGGATTGCGGCAAGTCGTACTCCACGTACTCGGGCCTGAGCAAGCACCAGCAGTTCCACTGCCCCTCGGCGGAGGGCAACCAGGTGAAGAAGGTGTTCAGCTGCAAGAACTGCGACAAGACGTACGTCTCGCTGGGTGCCCTCAAGATGCACATCCGCACCCACACGCTGCCCTGCAAGTGCCCCATCTGCGGCAAGGCCTTCTCGCGCCCCTGGCTGCTGCAGGGCCACATCCGCACCCACACCGGGGAGAAGCCCTTCAGCTGCCAGCACTGCAACCGCGCCTTCGCCGACCGCTCCAACCTGCGCGCCCACATGCAGACGCACTCGGACGTCAAGAAGTACTCGTGCCCCACCTGCACCAAGTCCTTCTCTCGGATGTCCCTGCTCGCCAAGCACCTGCAGAGCGGCTGCCACAGCGAGGTGGGCGGCAGTGCCTCTGGGGCCGGGCTTCAAGCAGGAGCAGCTCCAGCAGCACCTCCACGGCTACGAGGAGGGATCGGAAGCCCATCAGGTCTATTACGCCAGCAGCATGGGAAGTAGCGGCGGGGAGGAGGATGAGGGCGGGGACTATGCCATGGCCGCCCAGGGGGCACAGGCCATCTACTAGAGGGGAGGGGACAGGACAGGACAGTCTAGTAATCTAAGTAGCCAGGTAAACCTATAGCTAAGTCAGTCAGTAGCCAAAGTCACATAGTCAGTCAGCTAGGAACACCATTCAGGGAAAGAAGTCAGTGCCAAAAATTAGTCAGTGCAATTTTATTGCCTCTTAGGGTCTCCAAATTAGTGTTTATCAATCACAGAACTATTCTATTGAGAATATGTACATCTAAATTACTCCGATGAGCACCTCGGGGTGCTTAGCTTAGGCTTAGGATCATTGTTGTTTGTTAGCAATTCCTTGTATATTTGTTGTTGAAACTCGATGGTGTACAGATCGAAATGGTGCCAGAGAATAAATCTAAATATTTAACTTATTAACTTATGTATCTGTAGTAGCTTATAATTTCATTTTCTAATTTATTTTAGTTTAAATTATGATTTAATCCATACTTGTATCCATAACAATTATTTATATTTTTCTTTAAAAAAAAACACAAAAAACGCAAAATTTAAATGATTTTATTTCTATTATGGGCCCCCCTTGCCCACTTAATGGTACCCAAGTGGCAGATCTAACATTCCCACTCTTTAATTTTTTAGGAAAGAGGAATATGAATACATAAAAAGAAATAAAAGTATGGGGCAGAAACGACTGAAATGTTCGCTTGCAAGTCGGTGTGCAGAAATCATAATCGAAGCTCTGCCATCTCGGGGGAACTTCGTAGGTGTCGCTTATTTATCGCTGCTGGAAAACTGGAAAACTGCTCTGATCGAAAAGCTCAAAGCAGCCGTCAATGACTGGCCCGGCAGGGGGTGGCGAAGAAAGAGGAAAACTCACAAAATATATAGATATTTATATCTGCTTATATACACATAAATGTGTATATAAAATCGCTGCTTAAATCAAAATTAATTGCCAGAATAATAATTGTTTTGAACGTAAAGCGCCAAAATGCAAAAGGCAACGGCAGTGGCTGGAGAATTGGCGCAGCTGCAACTTCACTGCGTCACCAGCAACAGCAACATCAGCAGCAGCAGCAGCAGCAGCAACAGCAGGCGGCAAGCGCCAACAACAGCAACAAACACAACGAACCACAAATGTCTAGCATTTTGGGGGGCTGTTGCCGCTGCTGCAGTTGGCTACGGAGACGGCGACGGTGACGGTGAAATCCACTCAAAACAACAAACAACGCGATGAATCATCGATTTTTTTCGGGGTCTGCCACGAAAAATAAACCAGCAGCAATGGCAACAACTGCGACTGCAGTGCAAATGCAACAAAAACTTGCCCCCAGCCGGCTCGTGGTGCAGACGCACGCAGCTAGATGGCGCTAGTGGGCAGCAGCAAGCCGCAGCAGCACAGCCGCGAGTTCAATTAAACGCGTTTTCCAGTTCTGTCTCTGCAGCGATTTTCAGTTTTTCCGCACTGCAGCCGCACCTTACTTTACAGTCGAGAAGTACGTAGCGGAGTCAACTAGAGCTGTTCTCGGCTCGAAAGGCAGGGAGGAAACTCACTTATTCGCATTATTATAAATGCCGTCCACGCAGCTTGCAATGCTCTACAACATCCAGCTTACTCATGGAAAGAGCCTCCATAAGCTACCCTCACCGAAGGAGGTGTTTGGAGTGTGTCGGGTATGCTTGTGCAGCAAAGGTCTTTCAATCCATGTTGATTGAGCAAGAACTAGCATCAGTGAAGTGCAAGTATAAAACTTGAACTAACATTATTGCAATTGCCATTGACTGCCATCGGAGGCCTTTGGCTACATATAAAAATCGCATTAAATACATATATTCTAAATATTCTATTTTAAATTCGACTCATGAAATGGTGGGGGAAAAATATATCTCCTTTTTATAATAAAATATTCGTCAAACGCGTTTTGGGGAAGAATTTAACGCCCTTTAATTTCTGAGTTTTATTCAGGTGGGAAATAATTTAAGAAAGCTTTCGGTTCGACATCCATTAAATTGTCAGCGAGAGTATTTAACAGTTCGGCTGAACATCAACTGCTTCCGAATTCGGCCTCGCCTGGCGGTAGCTTTTTGGTCTATTAGGAAACCACACCACAGTGCAGCCACTTGAAAGTCATATTGCATTTGCCAGACAGCACTCGCCAGAGCCCGGGACAGAGTAGTGGCCCCAGTCCCCAGACCCCAGTCCCTCCTTCCTCATTGTACTTTGACGTTGATTTGGAGTGCGCGTGCTGCAGCCGCTGTTGCCCCGAGTGCCACGCCCCGTGAGACGCACATATCTGGCAGGCGGAGTGGCAGGCGGTTCTTGGTAGCGGCATTTGGTCAAAGGTTAAATTAGACGGGGACATGGGGACAAGTGCCGGGCGGCTTAGAAAATCGTTTAGAGCGCTAATTTATGGGCCTCCGAAATACTCGTACGGAAAAAAAGATCACAAACGGAGAACATACAAAAAATGTTTCACTTTGCTCGAGTTTCATTTATTGCAGCGACGTGCAGTGGCCGCTTAATTGGCAGTCGGCTCTACACAGCCGGGTTGTTGGTGGCAACACGCCTTGTTCTCTTTTAAAATTTTCGGACAGCTTTGGGCCTGGCCGGAGCTGTAAACCTCCTCGCCAAGGCGCTTGGATAATCTCCAATCACCCAAGTTCGCTTAAAATGCATTTTAAATGCACTTTTCCTATCAAATTAATTTCCAGAAAATTATTATTAAAATTCAGAAATGCAGTGCACGTTTTTCCAGCTCGTTGGCCATTAATATTTAATAATTTCAATGGGCGCATGGAACAAATTATGGAATATTACAAAGCGCCGCGCCAATCGTCGTTGCCGTGGAGACAGACAGCTTGATTGTTGTTGCTATTATTGGCTATATCTAATTCTTTTTGTTGTTGCCATTGGTCTTAGCAAATGATGTTGCTGTTGTTGTTGTTTTTGTTGTTGTTGTCGAGCTGTACGTGTTGTTTGCTTAACGCGCCGAGTGTAAATTAATATTTAATTATGATTGTTCTCGGCTCCGGCCGCTGATCGTGTGCTGAGTAAACGCCATTTTCTGTATTAAGATCTAATCGCCGAGTGTTTGAAATGCTGCCAACAAAACGTTTAGCCTGAACCACTTGGGGTTTGGGCAATCGATTTTGACTTTTGTTTTCGTTGAGCAACGGACGGGAGTTGGCTGGGGACTGAAACTGGGCTCTGATCGAAATCGAACAGAATCGATGGGTGAGTGGTAGAGCTCGTTCTTACTTTATTAGATGGTCCAATCTGAGCATTCACACATGGGACAAGTGTTATTTCAATAATAAAAATATATAAATAAAATATATAATATACATATACATATGTATAATATATACACATAGGTATTTAAATATACATATATATATTTATTGTCAGTCGTTTTTATCTCAGGGAATAATATTTAATTGTAGAATAAACAAATGCGGTTCCTGCTCTAGCCATATTTAATCGTTCGAGATACTTGCATGTGTATACATACACACACACACATGTGAGGATGTGGATGTGGATGTGAGTGGTCCAGCTGACAGCAATGATTAGCCACAAGCAAGACAGCTCTGCTCTGAGCTCTGAGCTCTGTCCATAACTCATGCCACACACACGACGTTTCGGCAGAACTCCCAAAAATAGAGCCCGGACCAGTCATAAATCCGGTGCCGTGCACTCGTCGACGTCAAATTAATCAAATGGAAACCCAAATGCAGCGCAGGCAAATTAGCCATAGCAGAAACAAGACCGAAAGCAAAGCTGAAGCCACAAACCTTTGGAAATAATCAAGTGGCAAAAGCCAAATGAGAACTTTTTTCCCACACTGAGCAGCGATCAAAGCGCTCCGAATGCTCCAATAGCCAGGCAACGCCCCTGAAATGGAATCGATATAATTATTTGCATTATTAATAATTACCATTGTCTCGCTTGGATTTGGATTCGGATTCGGATTTGGCTTTGGGTTTCGACTCGGAATCGGAGTTGCTTTCGGAGATATGAAATTCAAATTTGAATGCGTTGGCGTTGGCGTTGCCGTGGCCGTATAGGACCGCACACAACGACAGAAAACACCCATAAAGATTAGCTTTGTTCGAGTTCTCCCCGTAACATGCAAAAGAACAAGCAAGACTTTGTTTCGCGGCGGCTAATTAATTCAAACCGCAGAGCAAACTTAAACTTCAATACGGAAATAAGCTTAATCTTTCCACCGCAACAGCAGCAACAGCAGCAGCAACAGCAACAGCAACAGAAACAAAAACGACAACGGCAAGAAAAAGCAATTTGAAAATTTAATACGCAAGCCCCCAGTTGGACCACGATATGGAACTGAGGCGCCAGAGGCTAGACAATTGCACCGACCCGACCCGGCAGTGTCCACGTCCATGTGTGGGCCACCCACACCAGCGGAGACGCCGAGCACGGAGCAAATCCAAATCCAAAGCCAACCCGTCAACGGGCACAATGAGGCACCGCTTCAACGGGGCGACAGCACACATCAAAACTGAAATGGGCCTGGGACAGGCCAAAGCAAGGCCCACGAGGGGACCCCACCTGACCATGTACCACGCAAACGCTTCAACTTGTCAGCGCGCTAAGTGCTCGAAAAATATAATATAAAGAAAACAGTGTTCTGCTGAATGTGATAAATCCAGTGCTGTATGGATGAATGTGTGGTAAATGGCGAAATATGAGGCATTGTTCTGCGGTGGTGTAGCGCCCCCACCTGGGATGGGCATTCAACCCGCACAGTTCGCCATCGATGGTGTCCAAGTGCTGGGTCGGGTCCACACTGCGGTTCAACCTGTTGCTCCCTTGCTCCGGGCACCCGAAGTCGGATTTATCTTATTACAAACACACAAAAGGCGATGGGCGAAAGATTTAATTGTGCCCGTGCCGCATATTAGTTTCCACCAGCAATGGAACAATTGCCGGTTGTATCCAACGAATTCCCAGTACCCTTTCTGTGGGCAAAGGCTGGGAGTCTGATTCTTCAAAGTGACATTCAGAAAGGGAAACCATTCAGCAGCAGTGCTTTGGTTTTAGTATAAGAGAACCATGATTCAAAGTACGGTACATGGCAGTCATCGATATTTAATTGATCAAATTGTCTTGGATGCTGCCTTTAATAATGCCCCTTTGGTAGACCCTTCTACACAGGAGTCATGCTCCATATCGGCACGAAGAAGGGTATACCTTGGAGCTCTCAGAGATGGGGGCGTGGGTGATCGGCCCGGCGCCGTCATCGTGGACGTCGCTATTGAGAGGGCGTCGGAGACAAAAGCCATCCAGTCTCAAAATTGACATTTCGCTTTCAGCAGCAGCAGTTGCGAACAAAACCCTGAATACTGAACAACAGCAACAGCTACAGC